TGTGTGTGTGTGTGTGTGTGTAGGTGTGTGTGTGTGTGTGCTACTGGAATAATTCCTTTAGGATGTTACTTAGACTACCTCGTCACTGTAGTGCTACGGTATGTTCGTAAACAATTATACCATCGTTCACTGAATTCATACGATTGTCTGTTCTGAGCTTTCACAAGAGCATGGTTGCTAGTCATACTGTACACGTTTTCACTATTTGTACAAATGTACTCCGCTATTCTGTACTTAATATTTCATGTACTTTACTTGCATTTATTTTTTTATTTTATATGGACAATGTTTGACGTAAAAGTGAATGAATGAATGAATATTAGTCCTATATATGTAAACAAATGCATAATTTTTTTTAAACAGTGCCCAAATAGAAACTTGTAACAATCGTATCAAGCAAAGCCTATCAACAAAAAGTTTCTTTATTTCAGTTGTATAAAAAAGGTGTTTCTGGCGGCATTCGAACCTGCAACCTCTCACTACTTCTTATCGAGTCTATTCACGAGTTCATACTCTGTGGAGATTTCGATTTAGTTTTAACTCGATATTACGATCCTCGTGTATAGTGGGGAAAGGATTGGTAGGAACAGGGCCACCACTTGAACGCTCCTTTCTTGACCTCTTGTTATCAAGGCGAGTATCATATCCATTAGACCACCGAGACATTGGATACAGGCGAAGATCTAACCCCCAGGTACTTTAACACAACTTTGACTGAAATGATCTCAATAAAGCTTGTACAAAAAGTTCCTTTATTTTAGTTGTATGAAAAAAAGTGTTTCTGGCGGCATTCGAACCTGCAACCTTTCACCTCTTCTTATCGAGTCTATTCACGAGTTCATACTCTGTGGAGATGTCGATTTAGTTTTAACTCGACATTACGATCCTCGTGTATAGTGGTGAAAGGATTGGTAGGAACTTGTATGTAGGTCGCAGCTGGGAAATCATAATATATTATATATATATATATATATATATATATATATATATTACATTATATATACATATATATATTATGATCGAGAGAGTGCTCAAACATAGGAACAAATGATGTTATGAACGCGCACAGCTCTCTACAGGTATATTAATTATAATTCCGATGTGTAGTATTTTTATATAGATTTTTTAAAACATTTTACGACAAACAATTTATCTTTGAAATAATAATGTATACCTAAAGGGCACGACATATTGGTTGCTGGTATGTCGCAGCATTCCCAGCTGACATTTGGATCCACAGTGTAGCACCATGGACATCTAGCCTCATCTGGGTTCCGACACAAATTATGACGACCAATTCCCTGATCATTATCTTCAGCAATAGAATGTGGATGTGGAGACTGTTCTGTCCATTCTTGACACAATCTGCTGTTCTCTGTGACCATTACTAAACCTCGGTAATCCTCTGCTTGCGCCATGTGACTGCATTCAACTACATTGATGAAGAAAAAAACTAAATAGATGTTCATGTAGTTGATAAACAACTTATATATATATATATCATATATATACATATCCA